TGTAAGTATGAAAAACACAGAATTTACCTTTGTATTATGTATTCATTAGTTATTGTATTATATATTATATTATTAACTTACTTTTGCCCCCTCCCCCCTGTATATTTTCCATTAGCTAGACCTCATATTTTCAGACAAAAATCTGAGTTTGCAACATATCCCCCCCCCCCCAAATGTAGTGCTAGGTGACTATTGCAATTTAAATGGCTACCCTTATGTTTAAGATGTATAATTTAATTACAGGTTTATCGATAGACTATGTGGAAAACAAGCTTTATTGGATCAGTTCCGGAAATGGAACCATAAATAGATGCAACCTAGATGGTGGTAATTTAGAAGTAATAGAGTCAATGAAAGAAGAATTAACAAAAGCTACAGCCCTAACCATCATGGGTAAGTACAGTGGTTCTATAGTTAGGATGTTATTATTGATTGGGGGTTGATTAATTATGATCCGTTAAAAGCTGAGAAGAGTCACTGCTCCATTAATTCCAGAAGCACATTTAAATTGCACATCTCTATGAGGGTTTTTTTCCTTCTTCTTCTTTTCCTAATGTTAGTGAACAGACTTGTAACATTATACAGATCAGGGACTTTACTATTATTGATTCTTGGCTTACTGTGAATTGTTTTATTTTATGATTATTTTTTATGTTCTACTGAAGTGTTTTAAAGTGTAGGGGCCTTGTGTATTTGTCACAATAACAAATGTGGCTTATCTCTACTTATAAAGGATAGTTTGATCCATGCAGATAATTCAAGAGACAAGGCCACAGGGTCCATTGAACAATGATAGAAATTATTCTCCAGCAAATAATTCTTTTCTATATAGACATACCTCAGAGATATTGCAGGATGGGTTCCAAACCACCACAATAAAGCAAATATTGCTAGATAGTGAGTCACACTAATATTTTTTGGGTTTTCTCAATGCGTACTAAAGTTATATTTGCACTATACTGTAGTCTGTTAAGTGTGTAATAGCATTATGTCTAGAACAGCAATGCATATACCTAAATTTAAAAAAAATACATTATTGTTAAAAAGGCTAACCAACATCTGAGTTCATCAAGAGTTGTGATCATTTTGCTGGTGCAAGGTCTTGCTTCAATGTCAATAGCTGACAACTGGTAAGGGTAGTGGTTGCTGAAGGTCCTGGTGGCTGTAGCAATTTCTAAAAATAGGGCTACAATGAAGTTTGTCACATCAATTGACTCTTCTCGTCACAGTGATTTCTCTGTAGCATGCGATGCTGTTTGATAGCATTTTACCCATGGTAGAGCATTCACAATTGGAGTTAATTCTCTCAAACTGCTTTACCAACTGCCACTGCTTTATCAACTAAGTTCCCATGATATTCTAAATCCTTTGTTGTCATTTCAACAATCTTCACAACATCTTCACTGGGAATGAGTTCAGCAGTAAGACAGCTTCACTTTCTTATCATTTGTATGTTCACTAAAAGAGAAGCACTTTTTGTTTCCCCCAAGAACTTTTCCTTTGATTCACAACTTGGCTGTTTGGTCCAAAACATGGAGCTTTTGACCTGTCTAGACATTCTGTGTGCCTTTTTCACCAAGCTTAGTCATTCTAGCTTTTGATTTAGTTATGTGTGACTCTTCCCTTCTCTTGGACACTTTGAGGCCATTATAGGGTTATAAATTGGCCTAATTTTAATATTATTGTGCCTCAAGAAATACCGAAGTCTAATGAGAGGGAAAATGATGGAGAACAGCCTGCTGCTGGAGCAGTCAGAACATACCCACCATTTATCAATTAAGTTAGCTGTCTTACATGGGTACAGTTCCTGGTTTCCCAAAATGATTACACCATAACAAATATAATAATGAAAAGTTTAAAATATTTTGAGAATTACAAAAATATTACTAAGAGCAGTGCCAGAGAGTTTACTGTCTATGATTTTGTTGTTGTTTTTTCCCCCTGGAATTTTATGGTTTTGGGTCTTCCATTGAAGTCTTTAATCCAATTTACTTTATTCTTGTATAGGATGTAAAAAAGTGGTCTAGTTCCATATTTTTGCATGTATATGTCCAATTTTCCCAAAACCATGTATTAAAGAGACTATCTTTACTCCATTGTATATTCTTTCCTCCTTTGTCATTAATTGACCATATAGGCGTGGATTTATTGCTGGGCTCTCTATTCTGTTCTGTTGATCTATGTGTCTGTTTTCATGCCACTAGAATGCTGTTTTGATTACTACAGTCTTGTAGTATAATTTGTTTATCAAGTAGCATGATACCTCCAACTTTGTTCTTTCTCAAGATTGCTTGGGCTACTCAGGGCCCTTTGTGGTTCCATATAAAGTTTAGGTTTATCTGTTTTAGTTCTGTGAAAAAAAAATGTCTTTGGTATATTTATAGGAATTGTGTTGAATCTATAGATTGCTTTGGGTAGTATGGATATTTTAATTATGTTAATTCTTCCTGGTCAAGATGGTAGAGTAGGTAAACACTAGGCTCATAGCCTCCAATGACCATATTAAAATTACAACTAAAATATAGAACAGCTACCCTTGAGAACCACCTAAAGACTAGCTGAACAAAACTCAGATAACTAAGGATATAAAGAAGAAACCATATTGAGGCTGGTAGGAAGGGCAGAGACACAAAATGGGCTGAGCCCATACCCATGTGTGGTAGTTAGGAATTGGGAGGGTATCTCAGCTACAGATATCCCCGAGGAGCGAGGGGTCCCAGCCCCACACTAGGCTCCCTAGGCCAGAGCAAGAGTGCAGAGAAGAGAAGTACCCACAACATCTGGCTATGAAAATCAGCAAGGATTCCATCCAGGTGACACTGAGGGCTGCTATAGACACAGGGGTCCTCTTAAAGGGCCTGCGCATAGACTCACTCTCTCATGAATACCAACCATAGACTCTAGCAAAGAGACAGCAGCACTAGAAGTGCCAGGGACACATGGAGAGGAACTGAATAGTCTAACTGTAGGTGATGACTGGAGGGGCAGCTCTCTCCAGGACTGAAATGCTGTCAGGTGCCACTGCTCCTTTCTTGAATGCTCCCCACACCCAGCCAGCAGGCACAGGTGGAAGTGCGGAAGGCGACAGGCTCCAAATGCAGTACTGTCTGTGCTTTACCTTTTCTCCATTGTCTCAAGGAACAGAGTTTAGTACTTGATCAGGATTGATTTGCTCATTGTGTCCAATGGCAGTTGAGGAGGACTCTTAACACCTTTTGCCATGGACTGAATGTTTGTGTTCTCCTGAATTATATGCCAGAGCCCTAAAGGCATGTGGAGGTGGGGGCATTTGGAAGGCTATTAGATTGTGACTGTAGAGCCCACATGAGTCAGTGTCCTTCTAAGAAGGGGCCAGAATGTTAGCCTCTCTCTCTCTCCGCCATGTGAGGCTAGCATGAAAGTGAGGGCATCATGATCTTTGACTTCCAGGCTCCAGAACTGTGAGAAACCCTTTCTGTGGTGTAGGCATGCAATTTTTTGGCATTTTTGTTACAGTAGCCTAAACTAAGACATCTTTCCAGTTATTAGATATAAGCTGACTAGGTTGTAACTTCGAACATTAAATTATTCCTCATTTTTAAAAAAATGACCCTGTCAATTGTCTTTTTTCAACTGTGAGAGTTAGCAAATACAGTAGTTTTTGCTTTTAAATACAGTAGCTTGTAGCTGTTAAATTTTATCTATTACTTACTTTCCTTAATTTTTTTCCCTCGGTATTTAGCAACTCCTTTTTTTAAGGATTTTTTTTTTAAAATATACTTCAGGTTCATGAAATAATGATACACTAAACACTTTTCTTACATGATTTTCAAGTGGCTTGTGCTATAAGATAATGTATAGTCAGCTGTGTTATACTTAATTATTGATTGCCTAGTTTTCAAATATAGTTTATTTGTTTGCTTTTATTCATCTTTTCTATATAACACTGGTATTTTCCTGATCATTACTATCTGTAGGAGACAGTGAGTTAAGTGCAAATTAGTCAAGTTGCCTTTCAATTTTAGGTGCCTTTCTGAGGAGGAGGAGGTTAAAACTATTGACTAAAATTAGGGCTTGTGGGTTATGTGTGTATTATATTTAGCATATGATTCTTCTCACTGTCAGCATATTTAGTTTGAGAGCAGACTGTATATATTGTATTCACATTGAAGAGAAAGTTAGAAAAATCAATTCATGGAGCTGAGAGAAAATATACAAATAAAACAAATGTACTGGCAGAAATAGGTTTATTGGTATTTGGAGAAAATTAAGATGCAATTCAGGAAATTATAGGATGATGACTTATCTGTGTTTTTTATTGGGGCAAATGGATCATTGATTTAAAATAGAAGTGAGAGTATGGGGATTATTCAAGCAAACTTGAAGAAATATGTATGTCTTTATAGAAAATACCTCTCATTGGTGAATTTTAATGGTTGGTATCTTATTTATCATAAGTGATCTTAACATAGTACATTAAAATGAGTCATGTAATAATTTATCAAGTTTTGCTAAAGCAAAAGGGTTTGAGTCCAGAGCACTATAAAGGGTACAAGCTTAAATTTAAAGCTCTATACTACATGCACATCTTATGAGATGTTTATTCATTGTTCTCTGCTAGTCATTGCATACACAGTTACTCTCATTGAAATTCAATTATACATCTACTTTTATTGTTGCACTTTTATGGGGCTAAATGATCTTGAGAAATTACTTTTACCATGATATTTGAATCATGTACATATAGTCTTTATTGTATAATGAAAACATAGACTTTTAGAATTAAATGTAAGCTTTAAAGATTCTTATGTTTATCACTTTTATCAATTAAACAAGTATACTTCTATTCCTACTATTCATTAACCAGCTATGGTTATGGTACAATTACTAGGCCTTAGTTTTCTATTCTGCAAAAATATGAGCCTTGACCAAATGAGTTACAAAGTCCTAAAAAACTTGTATGATTTTATCTCTAATGTTTTGACTCAAGGATGCAGGAAATAGTTTAAAATAAACCATCGTCTAAGTTGAAGCAATATAGGAGAGACAAAAATTGTCAATAAAAATAAAGTTCACTTGTGAAGTTATGCTATTCAGAGTTCATATTAATCTGTTTCAGAAGTTTGGCAATATTATTCAATTTTGACATTTAATTAAGAGTTTGGTGGATGTTTACAACATAGAATTCCTTAAATTTCTTGTCTTTAGAATGGATTGATACTTTTTATAAATGTCTAAGTATCTATCTCCAACATCTATCTAACCTTTGAATCATTTGCAAAAATTGGCTAAATTCTTTTTAAAATAAAAGAAACTTTGAGTCACAGGTAAGGCCAAAAAAAATTATTTAATTATGCATTTTTTTATGAATAGTTAAGCCCTCTGCTGAATTTATTTCTTATTAATTGCAGTTT